AGGAAAGGTGCTGTGCTGACTCTAAACACTTACTACGTGAAAAAAGTTTGCTTTGGCCTGGGGCCTGATTTGCTTTGGCTCGGCTCTCCAAGGTGCATATATTTGATCATGCCTTTCTGGAAATTTCCATGATTTATTATTATTTTATTGTTATTTCCCTGGCAGCATAAACTCTCCCAGTCAGAGCCAGAGAGGAAATGTAAGAAATATTCAAATACATCACACTTCTAGTATCCATAACTTTTTCAATAAGTACTTCCTATACGAATATAACTTGGGCAGGGGACATAAATGGCATGGCTATACTTCAGCTAATAACTTTAAATATGGCTGTTCATTAGAATCCTTAGCATTTTTGAATCAGTCATTGAGAGCCCTGGGGGGGGGCAGCGTTGGCTGCATGCCAGATTGGTTCGGCACAGTACCAAGGTCAATTAAGCATGTATAGATTGTGACTGACAGTAAGATTGTGTTACTTCTTTGAATTTTACTCATAATAACCACCGATAAAAGGACACATGTGAGTGTGTAATGATGGTGACAATGTGTGACTTCAGGACAGTGATATAATCACAGAGAGTCGGCCTTCTCCCATAGGCGCCGATGTCATATACGCAGTTTTAATATCAAATTCTACATAATACTTTGTATAATAAATCTATTAAAGACGGAGGAAGCTTATTTTTAGACCATAATTTATTTGACTGCAAATGTTGCTGATAGAATAACGAAAGCTGAAATATGTTGCATCTGAATCACTTTTCAGCCCTGTGCGATTTAGACTGGTACCCAGTGCTCTGGCTAAAATGCTAATCTTTTAGCAATTTGTCAGTCAAATGAGCTCGTTGGGCCATCCCGATGAGAAAGACCAACAAGGATAATAAAGGCAGGACACATACAACAGCTTTCCTCAGAAGCCAGTGTTCGGAGTGCAAAGCTCTCACTTTTATGGTTTGTTTATTACACTGATGCTTCATAAACTGCTGCTGCGTCACTGCATGTTGGCCCTGTGCCGTGTGCATCCTGCTCTCTGCTTTATACAATAACAGTGCAGACTATTCATATTTTAATATCGGGCTACTTTGCAGTCTGTAGTATGATGAACTGTTAACCATTTTAGTTTTTGTTATTCCATTTTTTTTCAATGTGTTGTGTATGTGACGTGTAGGTACTAGGAATAGCATGCATTGTAATTTGTGCATAAAGTGACCTTACTTAGAATTCAGCATTAATTCGGTGGTATGAAAAAAGACCAAACATTTTTATTAGAGCGTGTGTGACCCAGCTGACCTATTTGCACATGAGGATTCTTTGCATTTCCATTGTTAAGACTCAGGAAAGTAAATTATGTGCTTCTTTACTCCGGAGGTGCATTGAAATAAGGCACCAACTCAGTATCCACCTTTCTGAAGAGAGCAGTTAAAATCTGTACTGTCACAGTACAAGTAGCTTACAGAGTGACCACCAAGATAAAACTGGAGCTTATGCAAACTGTGTAAAGACTGTGCACAATATACTGTATGTTTGGTAACACTTTACATTAATTGCACCATCATAATGTATTCACTATGCATTCATAGAACATTCAGTGCACCTTCATAATGCATTCATTATGCATTCATAATGCATTCATAGAACATTCACAAGCAGCATGCAAGTTCATCTTAACATCCTAACATCCCTTAACAGCTTTAATATACATTAATAACAATCGTTACATGATTCAACAATTATAATGTTTGTTTTTATTATATAATATTTGTTATTAATGCATATTACATGTATGTACATGCTGTTTATGAATGTTTTATGAATACTTAATGAATACATTATGAAGGTGCAGTTAATGTAAAGCATTGCTGTATGTTTTTATAGCAGGAGGAGTGAACAGCAGTTCATGCAGAAGTGCACCGGCAATCTCTCAGTATGTGTGTAATAACACACTGTTAGCTTCAAGGACATAATACAAAGCAGTGATGTTTTCAAGGGAAATACTGACTGATCCGCCTGCGCAGATGTAGCTGCTCAGTCCATATAAATTTATGTCAGTAAGACATTTTCACATAATTTGACCAACTGACATTTACAATGAATGCAAAAATAAAGAGATTTACCTGAATTATCTGTTACAAAAGCACTTTTTTATTCTAGTTTGTCCACTCATCGATGTTCTGTGTTAGTACAAAAATATGAAAAATGCCCATTGTCAAAGGAAAAAACAACAAAAACAGTTTGGATTTTCAATGAATTCTCGCCTCTGATTGGAAGTTGTGTGAAAACATTTAACTGAAAAGGAATTCATCATCAAATTCTTCTCTGGTCACTGTTTCAATGGGGTGATGTCTCTGCGTTCCTGGTTGATACTGTAAATATGTGCACTATACACAAATATAAGGACACATTACATTTGCATGCATTTAAACTCTTAGTATGCTTTTTGGCTTGAATACTATGTAATGTGTGAACATTAAAATAGAAGTGAACAAAACTGATTTGTGATTTGTTAATGATAACTGAGACACTGCTTTGCTGGCTTTGCTGGCTTCCCTGTGTCACAGTAACACTTTTCCTCTTCTTTCTGTTCTCTCATCCGGCATGTCGTGCAGCTGAAATCGCTGGTGAGTGTCTGTCTTCTGCATGGGTACACCTCTTCTCCGTCCTCACAGGCCATTACTTCTGTTAGATGTATCAAGGAGACATGTCCGTGTGGCTGAATAGAAAAGGTGCTTTATAGTGAAATGGGAGTCAAAGTGATCACCAATATGGCATTATTACCCTCTTTAAGGTGATCACAATATAACAGTGTTTCCCAACCCGGTCCTCGGGGACCCACAGACAGTTCACGTTTTACTAGGACCTGGGTGGGAGCAAAAATGTGGACTGTCTGGCAAGGAACTGGGAGGGAGCAAAAATGTGGACTGTCTGGCAGGGAGCTGGGAGGGAGCAAAAATGTGGACTGTCTGGCAGGGAGCTGGGAGGGAGCAAAAATGTGGACTGCCATGTAGATCTCTGGGAGGGAGCAAAAATGTGGACTGTCTGGCAGGGAACTGGGAGGGAGCAAAAATGTGGAATGTTTGTGGGTCCCTGAGGACCGGACTGGGAAACACTGTCCTATTGTGTTTCTGGTACTGAAACTTCAAGTAGAATTAGAAAGTTGTCACTCACAGTGTCTCTTCTCTCTCCACTTGCCAGCAATTTCCTCAGTCTATATGTCAATGGGGAGAGAGCTTACTGGGGGGATGTGGGGCTCCAGGTCCATCTTCCTGTCTTTTTATAGGCAGACACTAGAGTTAATGTGGCAGGTGGAGCCGGAGCCGGCCTGGGATAAGTATAGCTTGCCGTTGGGACAGACGCAGACCTCAAACACAGTCTGTCTGCTGCCTGTCGCTGAGGCCTTCCCTTCAGGCAGCCTGGGAAACTTGATCTTCCTGGCATCAAGCGTTATCTGAAAATGAAAAAAAAATCAGTAAGCGAACAAGCAGTTACTCTCTTATTTTATTCCTCTATTTTTATTATTTATTTATTGAAATGTGCTACTACGTATCATCAATGATTTGCAATACTATATACTTAACACACTTTATTAAAAAGAAGGAAAATAACTCAAACAGTTGATATGTATCATACTCTGCTCACTTAGTAAAACTATTGCAAATTTATTGGTTTCATAACAAAAATCATTATTCATTTGTCTGCAAAAAATATGTATCGTATTAGAGACAATCAGTAGTTTTAAATAAAACAATCATTTCAAGTAGTAATAAATTGCAACCTGAATTATAGGACCTGTTCTGACAAGCAGTCTAATTTAAACATTTGTTCTAATGTTAAACATTTGTTCTGAAACCATAAATTTGCAATATTTTTGCTGAATTAAGCAAGCATTCCAGGACGTCTGTGTATCATTTTATTTTGTAAAAACACTCCTCTCTGCCTGTCTAGGTACAGCTTTAGCCCTTTCTCCAGTTTACAGTGTGTGTTGCTTTAATGTACATCGTACAGCTCTGCATCCCGGTCAGGAGGGTTAGAGCCTACCCCAGGAAAACTGCAAAATCCATCCATTCATTCATTGTCTGAAACAGCTTACCGCATTCAGAGTCACAAGGGATCTGGAGCCAATGGGCACAAGGCAGGGAACAACTCAGAAAGGGGCACCAACCCATCGCAGGGCACACTCACACCATTCACTTACCCACACACACATACCATTCACTTACCCACACTCACACACCATTCACTTACCCACACACACTCACACACCATTCACTTACCCACACTCACACACCATTCACTTACCCACACACACACACCATTCTCTTAGCCACACTCACACACCATTCACTTACCCACACACACACACCATTCTCTTAGCCACACTCACACACCAGTCACTTACCCACACACACTCACACACCATTCACTTACCCACACACACACACACACCATTCACTTACCCACACACACACACACACCATTCACTTACCCACACACACACACCATTCACTTACCCACACTCACACACCATTCACTTACCCACACTCGGACACAATTCACTTACCCACACTCGGACACAATTCACTTACCCACACTCGGACACAATTCACTTACCCACACTCACACACCATTCACTTACCCACACACACACACCATTCACTTACCCACACTCACACACCATTCTCACACTCACACACAATTCACTTACCCACACACTCACACACAATTCACTTACCCACACACACACACACAGCATTCACTTACTCACACTCACACACCATTCACTTACCCACACACACACACACACACACACACACACACACACCATTCACTTACCCACACACACACGCACCTATGGGTAATTTGGTAACTCCAATTAGCTTCAGCACAATTATGGACTGTGGGGGGACACTGGAGTACCCAGAAGAAACCCCTCGACAAAACAGGAAGAACGTGCAAACTCCACACACACGTGCAAACTCCACACACACGGAAGCCTGGCGGAGACTCGACCCCCGGGTCCCAGAGGTGTGAAGTGAGAGTGCTAACCACCGCACCACCGTGCCCCCCCTAACCTGCAACATATATTGTTAGCCACATGTGCTACAGCTCCACAGCTCAGTTGTTATTTATTTCCATTAATATCGTAAGTAGCCGCCCACTGGCCCAACGGCGAATCCACATGGCCAGCAAAAGGTACTTAGCGTGCGCAGATCTTTCCTTGCACCTTCGAAAAAATGTTACTTCAAATGAAACCGAAGTATTTTGAGTTATTTTGATTACTCCTGATCTTTGCTTTTAACTCGGCCTGTTCATTTTGGACTCTGATGTCATACGGGACCCGCTTTCAGAAGATCTTGCAGCATCAATGGGTGCAGCCTGAAACCAGTTTGATCTCAGTTCACGGACTGCAAGGTTTCTGCACATTGTCGGGTCCCGTTCATTATCACCGAATCAACTCTGAGGCTGAAAGGCAGTTTTCAGCGCATTTGACAAAATCATCTCGGGGTCTGATGCCATCTCAATATGTCTGATTGATTCAGCTCTTGAGGCTGCAAGCCAAGAGTCAGCATGTTCAATCAATACAGCTCAGGCACGGACAAAATCGCAGTATATCCTATTGATTCAACTCAGAAGCTGCAAAGCAGTTTATTGGTGTATAATACTGTTTATTCATTCACCTAGATTTTACCCGACTCAAGAGATTAGCCAGAAAGTTAGAGTCATTAGATTATGAAGCCCAAAGGTGTTACATTAGTGCTCTTATGTGTACAAATCCAAGCCAGGAACCACAGTAACATTACAACCTAGGAATCAAGTAGAGATAGCAATTTCGGAAGAGCCATAAATGATCAAAACAAGTTATTTGCTGTGCAGACACAAGACTTATCGATTACAATGTAAAGCACATTACCAAGATCTATCTAAAGAGGCCACCTCATTACATTCCTATAGCAAGCATGCAAAAAAAACACAAAGAATCAGAGTCATGCAGTACATACCTAGCGGAAGATACACATAGTGAATGTGAAATTTGTTTGCTTGAGATGTGGCTACAGAATGACTAGCTGGTTATCTTGTGGACCCTTCCTTCAATCTCAAAGCCAGTGGCAGGCATTTCCATTTTGCAGAACAATAAAAGAATCACTGGCCGCATGTAAAAAAGATGTTATTTCTGAATGATATGTCAAAGGATCAATAAACAGCCAGATCAAATGATGTGTAGCTGCCTGGCAGTTTAAAATGGGGGTTAGTGTTCCAAAAAGGCAAGATTCTTTCCATATCTTCATGATGATTCAATATACTGTACAAGTCACACTGAGACATTCCGATAAGAACAAACGTGGAGATGTACAAACCACCTGAATTCACAGTAGACAATGTTTCTCACATAAAAGCATTTTGCATGGACTTGTGTATCCTGGGTCAGGAGAAAAGCGAGCCCTAGGAGAGCCGGAGAAGAAAGGATGAGTTTATGAGCAAAGGGTATGTGAGATGTGGCCGTGGGCCTCTTCTCACACAGTGGGGGCCGAGATGGGGCCAGCGGATATGCCAGAGTGAGGGTGTGAGTCAAGTCTCGTCTGAGCCGACCTGACAGTTCCCTCCTGGGCTGAGAAACAGGGCAGACCCAACGGATTCCTGTCTGAGCCAGCAACCTTCCAGTATATAGAAAACAGCTTAATGCTGTATAAAAACTGTCAAACTCTAAATATGACAACTTCCATGGTCCTGCCAGATGAATGTGGAAATCAGTATGTGAGAAACATGCAAAAAGCCATTTGTAGGTCTGCTTGCTATTTGCTCTAACCAAGAAAACAGGTTTAAAAGAGGCGTAAAAATGAATGGGACTGTACAGCATTAGATGCAGTGAAGTAACTGGTGCAGCTGCTACTGAAGAACTCATTCTGTTCTGAGACATAGTTTGCTGATATTTTTCAATAGCGTGAGGAATTCAACGTCTATAATAGAGCTGCTCAATACAGAGGGGTGTATGTGTGATAGGGAGGATGGAATGTTCATCTTTAGCAGTTTAGGACTTTGCCATCTTGTTCATTTGACATCCTCTGCTGCCCCCTGGAGGACGGGCTCCCCCTTCAGGTCTGGTTAGGGTTAGGGCTTCTTCTGCTGCCCCCTGGAGGACGGGCTCCCCCTTTGGGTCTGGTTAGGGTTAGGGCTTCCTCTGCTGCCCCCTGGAGGACGGGCTCCCCCTTTGGGTCTGGTTAGGGTTAGGGCTTCCTCTGCTGCCCCCTGGAGGACGGGCTCCCCCGTTGGGTCTGGTTAGGGTTAGGGTTAGGGCTTCCTCTGCCTTTGTGCTTTGAGATAATGTAATTTGAAAATGCACTATGCAAATAAAATTGGAATTTACAATTAACTCCCTGTTAATCCCTGTAAAATCCATTACCCAGGAAAAGTAGAGACCGTGTTTCCGGAACCAGCTGTCCACACCCAAACCATAGCTGACCCAGCTTTCTGAATGAAACATCAGGTGAAGAGGTGAACCTTATTGTCACTGACCATAACTTCTCAGCCTCTTTTTCTTCTGCTCTGGCTCTTTTCTTCACGCCCTGAAGCTGGCAAACCTGCCCTGAAATGCAGCTCGATCCCTTCTTACCCACTTACCTGCAGAGCTTCATCTCCTCAGCCTTAATGTTTTCTGACGCATTGATGCACTCTTACTCCCTCAAAGTGTAAATTCACTACCGCAAGATGGTAGAACTCCTGGTTGCACTTCCTACTTTGTGTCAAAGGCCTCAGAACATTGAAGGCATTTTCTTTAAAGCATCAATACCGTCAAAGTTCGGATTCACTATGTTTTTAATCTCTTCACATGATTCACTGATCAGCACATTCTGTACTTCACTCGAAGTCAACGTTACTTAAGTCCATTTATAGCTTCGTCTTTAATGACAGCATCACTTTTTTGGTCTGAGCAGCTGAAGTACGTTTGCTGCTGTATCAAATTTGGTAACATTTTAGTGAGTATTTTCTTTTACCATTAACTTTTGGGCAGTATAGCAGAGACAAGTTGTTTCTTTCATTTGCCATTTCAATTGTCTAGGCTATTGTCAAACAAGCTTTCATAATAAGTCTGATAGTTCACTAAATTCAAACTGCAACTATTTGGTTCACATCTACATTTATATGAAAATATCCAAGAATGACACTCAGCCGAAGTTTCATTGCCGTCTTATTCCACCGTCATGGCCGGTCCCACCCCATTAATGACAAGAACCTTGGTTATTATCAGCCGAAATGTGTGTGAATCTCATGTTATTGGCGAAAAGACCCACAGGACGCAGAGGCTGGAGGGTGGAATGAGGGTGAATTATCAGTAGGTGTAGAAAGATGCACAAAGAAGTAAAAATGCACAAAATTTCAAAAAGCAAAAGATTTATGGAAAAAAAAAATAAAAAAGCACAAAAACACTGAGAAAACACAAAGCATTGAGAAATAATTGTAATTTGAGCCTTATGCATGTTTTGCATTCTCATATTTTTGCCTTTTAAAAATGTTGTTCATCTTTTATTTTTTTCATTTTGTTGATGTGTTTCGGTTTGAACGAACTGAACATTCTTAAAAACATAGATAATTTATAAAACCACTAAAGCCAGTTCATCCCCCCCCCCCCAATTAAGCATACAACAAAGTATGTTTATAAATTAAATTAAAGTATGTTATAATGGTTTTTTTGGCACTCCTTGATGCATTATACATTATTCATGAGAATGTTCTTAGTATATACCAGAGGTAGGCACACTGCGAAGAGCCAGTGTCTATGCATGGTTTTTGGATAACCTTTAGGTCAGCTGTTCAAACTCAGGTGTGAGGACTCTTCAGCCAATCAGTCCTCTAATTAGTAATCTAATTAGGGAGTTGCAGTGAAAACCTGCACACACAGCGGCCCTTTCTGGATAAGATTGCCCACCCACTGTAAAATTACTTATATTCTTTACTTATAACTACCAAAATAACGACTGTACCTGAAACATATTTAAACATGTTATTACAGTAAATTACAGGTAAGAAATTATTAACTGTGTACATTGCCGTGCCTGTTTCTCTGACGCATCAGTCACTAAACCAGTTTTGATAATAACGGCACATGCCCTGATCTCTCCTAGCACGTTTCACTGAACACATAGTTCAGTCTGGGCGTGCATCCCGGTACTCATTCAGGATTAAGGAATCAACAAGAAAAAATGTTTTGAACAGGTGGAGGGATATCTTCTGAAACTACTATTTTGTGTTGAGTCCACGTTGCTCAGTTTTTGTTACGTATCTTCTTTGAATAAACTGAGTTACCAGACCTACAAATATTGAGCATAGAGCATAGAGCTTCTTGTAATTCATTTACTGTTTCTTGGAACTTTGAAGTCAAAAATCACTGTAATACAGTGACTTAGCAGTGTGATATGAATCAATTGAATTTTGATTAGATTTTTTTTTCAAGTTACATCCAGCAATTAAATTAATCATGCGTACGAGCCAAAGAGTTCTCTGACAGCCTTATGTTTGTGTGACCAAAATAATGACATGCTGCTTGCCTCAGGACGAATGATAGCAGTTGGCTTGATGGAAGTTTTACCATCATAGATATAGTATACCAAATATTCATAGATACTGAATATATAAAGCATATATCACACAGAAAATCCTACTTCCCTCATCCCAGAAGCCTTTGTATTTTCAGTTTAAAAATGGTGAATAAGGCAAATACTGCCAATCAAGGGCATAGGAGAGAGTTTGATATTGGGGGGGGTTCACGTCCCCCCCAGGACCTAGTCCCCTGCTACCAACTACTGAAAATCAGCCATCAGTCATGTTCATGTTGCTTTGGAGCGACATGTCCAAAAATGTGACTGATTTACATTGAACACGGCCAGTGATTCAACATTTTTGACAGAAGCAGAGATTCTACAAGCGGGGTTCTGTGAAATGATTGTCAGTCTAGGTTCCGGGCAGCGGGGCTTTTAAACTGACCGGGTGATCAAGGTGGTTCCTTCTCCTAAAACAAGGACAATGATGACATGGTGCTCTACCTCTCCATCCTTTGACTCCAGACGCATTTCGCTTCTGCAGGTGGCCCGAATGTCTCCCGCTTCTGCCATTATCTGGACACCTTTTGGAGCCTCCATGTACAGAGACCTGGTTGGAGACTCCAGTCTGAAATGAAGACAGCATGGGTCTATAGCCAGTCTCAGTCAGTTGAAAACCACTCCTATTTGGACACAATAGCCCTATAATACTCTATTAGAGCAGCAGTTTTCTTGAAAACTTCAAAACTGCTTATAAGCTTACGAACAGTTAACAAATATCAAGAAATATGCACCTTGCTTGACATAAAGTCATTTCAGTTTAAATAACCAATTCAAATCTTATTTTACCCCGTCCTTTATTTTTTTTCCAAAGCAAATTAATTGCTTCCATCAATAAACTTATTTGCGCTATTGCCTTCTGGCTTCTTATTAAATAGGTAAAAATGTTTGTAGCCAATGGCAGCCTATGGAGTCGTGTGCTACGTCAGCCAAACACTCGCAGAGGCTTGGTTTGAGGCACCAGGGAACAAAATCAATCAACAAATGATGAAGTTTCATTACACTGATGTGTCCAGAGTTAAGGTGACAGTGCCCACATCACCGATGCATTTTCAGTCAAACAGGGGTGGATATTAATATTAAGCATATTAGGATGGTACAGGACTCAGCGACACAGGAGAAGATACTAATGACCGAAATAAAACTGGTTTAAGAGTGGATGGAATTAAAGACTTTCACAGATGAAAACATAGGCATAGGGAATATCACTTATTGTCAGGTACAGTGGTACTGTACCTTGGAAAATGAACTTAATTGGTTCCAGAAGGCTGGTCGAGCTGCGATTTGGTCCAAGTCGAATTTCCCCAAAAAAAGAATGTAAATGAATTTAATCCGTCCCCAAATGATCGCCTATTTAAACTCATCAACCTACCTAACTAATGATGAAAAGCATTAACAATCAATATAAAACTAATGCACACATGAAAAAGCACACATACAAAAGCAATAAACATGAAATAAATGACAATCCCACATTCCGAAGCGAGAGCAGACACACGTGCACCACCTTTAAGTTTCGCTATAATTTTCTTTTTAAGTTCTACAGTTACTCTCACTACTTTCCCCTTTGGTTTGCTGCTATCACTGCTCACTTTCTTAGGGGCCACGATTACTGTATCACTAAATTTACTGCAGATAAAGCACAAAAAATTCACACCGAACACAGGGGCTTGGTCGAGAGGTACTGTGATTGTATCAATCACTGTGACTGTGATTGATTCATAGGCGTCAGCGTACAAGTAGGTCCGCTTGACTTTTCCACCAATCGGAGACGCGTCTCGATCACTTAGCAGGTCTGTTTTGTTCTTAAATTATTGTGTTCTTGGTCGAGTTGCGGTTAGATTTTTCTCGACTTACCCATTCAAGGTCTTTGACTATTATTGGCTGACAATATAAAAATAACACAGCTAACATTAATGGAGAACTATGTTTTCTGCAAGTATATTTTCCAATTTAAAACCTCATTTTTTGTAGTATTTAATAAACTAACATTTAGAAAGACTGACACATGATTTTTTTGTCTCGTAAGCCCTAATAATAGCAGCAAAACTCTTACATTACCTCATATTCCTTTGAAAAGATGTGAACCTCACGTTTGCATCTTAATATATGATGCCTGATTGTGTTCAGCTAGCATGGATTCTTAATTTTTATATCAATCATTTCAGACTAATCAATTGTGATTTGAGGATTTATAATGATCAGTATTTAATTATTATCCATAATGATCTGAAAATCACTTTGCATGCAACAATTGTTCACTATAATTAGGCCACGGGTTTTTCATTCTAAGTAAGCCATAGGTTAGCGAGAGGTTCCTGGGCTCAGATCCCAGACACACGCGTGTGAAAGCTCTGTGTTAGTGCACATCACAAACCTGTCCTATACAAAAGCATCCTGTTGTATGGATCCTCAGCCTTGAATCTGGTTGGCATATATACTGAAGAACAAGTCTCTGAGAGTAAGTTCTGAAGCCCTTTTCTGCCATAAACCTAAACACTTCGTACATTCACTGAACAGCACTTCTGTTACAGCTCCATGTATATTAACGTGATTGGCTGAGAATATATCACATAGAGGTGCCGGTAATCTTGAGGTTTGGAGGAATCATGGATTCACTCTGCGCTACATCTATTAGTATTTTCCTCTTTGTCTTTATATCCCTCAGTAAACTTATCTTAGAATATTGGCTATGAGCAAGTGAATCCTTCCACACAAGAAGGCCAAATGAAATACGTTGTCTCAGCTGCTTCATAAAATCCTTTGGTGAGGCCATTGGGGGACTGATCTCTGATAGCTTTTATTGCTCATTATTTACCCATAAATTAGCCCCGCCAGCCACGTCTTGTCAGCTCCCTAAAATCCATTTCTCCTTCCCCGCATCCAAGTTTGTTTTGGACGATGGGAAGGAGCTTTAATTGGATTGTGATGAGCACTGGGGCATTGATCTAAGCAACAACTCGTGAGAGAGAAGCCAAGAAAACAGGGATAATGCTTATAAGTTCACTGTAAACAAAAAGCTAAACATTTATGTTATAAATTCTCAACTGTATAAAAACTGCATGTAATGCAAAATTCAGAAATTGGAAATAAAAGTTCCTTAGTTCCCTGATTTATATCGTTTTGCATTATTTTGAAGTAGTTAGTTTCAACTTTCTCTAAAAGGGATTTGTTAATTGCTGGTGTTGGAATAGTTCTGCTCAATTACCTCTTCAAAACTATTACTATTACTATTAAGTTGTGCTACAAGTCCTTGAAATGTCATTATTATATAATCAAAGCACTAAATTTGGCCACAAAAGCAGCACATGGGCTTAAACCTTTTTGGGTAGGAAAACGTGAGTCCATTAACAGCCAATAATCCAAATATCACAAACACACGCTTTACACAAACTCCCCTGTGACAAATACGACCGCTTAGTGTTACAGGCATTGAGTTTGTTATATTCTCCTTTATCGCATTCATTACATAGTCAAACTTACTAGAAACACTTTATGATGAAATCAGAATGAGGTAATAAGTTGCCAAAACATCAATGCTTAAATGAATGAGTGCTATTCCGCGGTGAAGATGTCACATGCGTATCGTTACCGTTACCTAAGCTCCTTGTAGGGCTCGGACCTGACGTGAGGCGTTTCTACAGAGTTGCTGAACACTGCGCCCTCAGCACCTGAACAAAAAAGACGAAACATAAAGATTCACCATCACTGTCACTGTGGATTCAGTGCAAGCATCCTCTGCTTTGACAGTAACCAAGTGGTGAGTTAATGTTCCTTCGTCAAGCACTCCCATCCTCGGCTTTTGCATGCTTTTTTAAGAATGACGGTAAGGCGGCAGGTTGTACTGCTGTGGTTGTTCCTCGTTTTTATTTAATCATCATTTTTCTCCTGTTGAAGCTTCTGAAACATTAAAATGTACTGTAATGGGCACAATGTTCAAAGAGAGAAAAGAAATCACAAAAAATATCAGTCTACCCCCGAACATTGATAGACTTAAACCCATTTCACAATAAATTGTGTCAATATAATGGTAAAAATGAATCTGACAGGAGCGTATGATTAACACTGCACTGTTCTTTCAAACTGCCAGACAGTGGACTAGTGGACAGAAAGTGAACAGTTTGCTGTGCTCTGCGGCTGCAGACTGGGATTTGGCAGCGCAGTGGGGAATCTGCAAAACGATCCCACTTAGACCAGTCTTCCCCAATCCGGTCCTCGGAGACCCACAGATGTTTTTTTCCTCTCTCCCAGCTCCCTGCCAGACTGTCTGATGGTCCCCAAGGACCGGATGGGGAAACAATGGCTTATGCTGCATTCCATTTCAACTCATTACTGACATTCCGTAACTGACTTGTAACAGTCATTCCAAGCTCCTACTCAGAAATTTCAGCTGGAACACCCCCTGAAGTTGGAGTTCCTCCTTAAAAAGTAGGAGGAATCTACACAAGCCCAACCTCAAAATTCAAGATGGCTGAACCCTTTATTAACAGAAGTTAAAGCTGTAGTTTTATGCTGTTTATTAGCACTTATGTCTTATTTGTGGCTGCTATTTATGGACATATATAATACTGCTGTCCATACTCCACATGTCTCGTTATCAACTGGTATTGCTAACAATGCCTAATAATGAACTAGAGCTGGGACCTGGTTCAGAAAGCCGGATTTCTTGCTTAGCCGGATAACTTTTCAGATTTAAGGTGGCCTGGACTAAATGTAAGGGAACGAAGATAAAGGCCATTTGAACTAGGGAACTTTAAATCCAACAAATTATCTGGCTAAGAAAGAAATCCCACTGTTTGATTCACGTCCCTGGTATGGCTAAATGGCTTTCTGACTCGTACTGGAACGCAGTTAACTCAGGTGTGACAGCACTGTCAGCTCCGACCTCCGAGCTAAATGGAACGCAGAAACAGATCAACTGTCAGACATACAGATACGGAAAAAAAAATACTATTTTTTTGTAAAAATAATTAAAATGCAGTACTATATGACATAAACTTCTACGCATATTAGGAACCTAATTCTGTACATAATGTATTGGTGTTATTATTCCATACAGCACAACCATCTAACCCAGACACAGCCTAAACATATGACCAAAACCCCAGGGATTCACTACGCATTTCCCTGTTTCATATATCATTCAGTACTGAGTTGAATTGAAATAAATATATCAACAGAATTATACGTAACCCTTGTCTTGTCTTAACCTTTTTTGTAATACACTGCATGTACAGTATGTGAGCACTGATGACTGGAGACAAACTCGCAGTGTGTGTGAACACACTTTGCCGAATGAACCTGATTCTGATTCTGGTACTGCTGTGTTCTGTTCTTTCACCAATTTCACCAAATTGCTGTTTTCTCCCCCCTAAAAACGAAAACAGTATTTTGCTTCGCTTTTCTCCATTGGTAATTTTAGTAATAGGACTTCCTTCCAAAGCCTCGTTCTGCCTTTCAGTGGGTACGGAACGGAAAGATAAAACAAACTGGCCATCATTTCCCATGTTGTGGTTGTCAGGCCGTTCGGACTTTCTCAGAATCAACAAAAACGCTTAACTTTTGCATCTGCTAAGCTGAATCACTGGATTTCTGGGTTTGTATTTGGAACATGGTGAACTCACAGAAAACTAATGGCACCTGCTTATCTCCAGCCAGCAGGATGAGATTTTACTCTTTATTTTCCTGCCACAGACATACAGAAGAAAAATAAACTTCGATGATATGCAACCTGTTTGTAATATTTATCAATAGACATAAATATAAAAAAAACACACAATACATTTAAGCCCAAATTCCTGCTAGAGACTACTAATTAATGGAGGACTGAAACAGAAACTTATAAACAGAATGAGTCTGCATACAGCACATAAACAAGTTCATTTCGCTGAGGACTACGTGCAGGTACATATGCAATCTTCACTAATGAGATAGTGAACAGACCATCACCTTGATCATAAGACCCAGTCTCCCCAGTGAACCCTTTAATGTCAGAAAACATTCATATAGGGAATGTAAATGCCATCATTGATTTAATAGTACAATGCACTGTTTAATGTACAGTAAAAAAACAACATCATCTGTAGCTCTTTGTTGCTTAGTTCAATATTATTACAGTTCACAAACCCATGATACATAGTAAACAGTCAATAGTTAACAAATCTAGCCTGAGCTGAGAAATGGCAGTTCTGCATTCTGGTCTTACATGAAGCAGGTGCAACAAACCTCCTTCAACACCTCAGACCTGAAAAAATCTGAGTATGAAAGCCTGACACCAGATGCCTGGAGATTAGAACAAATCTGCGAGGACTCAGAGCTGCACCTCATCAGTGGCTGATCTCCAGTCGAACTTCTTCACAATAAGATTCTGGCAACCAGACAAGTTAGAATTGACTTTCCTGGCTGTGGCACCAGACGTAGATGAAGACAGAGAGTGTTGCCGGTCAAAGGTGCAATGCATCATCGTATTCTTCACCATACATGATGTTGCACGTTTTTGTCAAAAGAGGACAGGAAAGCAGTGATAACATTTAAAGCCACATCAATACGGGGTCAAAGTGGCACAATGACACAGAGAAATACTGTAGGCACATTGTTACTGGGAGTCAGTTACATTTCACTCACAATGGATGTGTATGATAACAATAATGACGACATCCAAGTCTTATATCACAATGATCATGTTCATCCAGTGTTTATCAAGAAAAAAAAAAAAAAGAACTTGTCTAATGAATATGAAGAAAACACTTCTATCTCAGAATAAATAAAGCACTGTGGTGCTGAGAGAGAGTGTACATTTGAGAAATTTATCTTTTAGTTGGGTTGTTATGCCAAAGCCGTATTTCCTTTTTAGTTAACAGCGTTATTAAAACTACAAGTGAAAGTTTATGGAATTTATGCATTTTTTTGCTGTTTCTTCATGTGTCTCAGCAGCACTGAAATGGTCTCAAAAAAATGGGTCATTTGCAATTGCTCACCGAAAAAATTGTGCTAACCTAAATAGTATTGCCAAGACCTCTGTATTTATTTGATAAACGTGTCCCACCTTGCCTAACTGGCATCTATAACTTGTCTATTGTAAGATGAGCTGATATAAATATTGTGAAAAATCCCGTTATAATTCATGAATAATGAAATTTGTCATTGGATAGACTGACATTGAGTCATCAATACTCTACATATGCCAGAATAAAATCTGATAGCCTGGATCATTAAAAAAGGTGCATTGCAGACCAGATTATCTACAGTGGCAGCCTATATGCTCAGAGTGCTGCATGGCGTCCTCATGTTACCTTCGATCTTGGCCCACATTACGTACCGGGGACTCGCAGCTTTTCAGCTCCAACAACTACTTCATGGGCATCTGCAGAGAACAGCAGCTTCCCAGTGTTCGATTTCACCTCAAGCAACTTGCAACAGGCGTGGATTCCACTGGATCCTGTAAAGGGTGTCATTTCACACAACGAGTATGAGCCCAAAGGTTTGGGAACAAAGCAAATCCTTATATATTACAGGGATGTTGTTCTTCTGGCAAAATTGGCAGCATGAAGAATTTAAGAAAGAAAATAGTTCTCATTCACTCAATGGAAAATTTTCACTTTTTGAAAGCGCTATAGAGCAAACAGCAAAATAAATTGACTCTAACTTTCCTTGTCAACCTCAGCATGTTGGAGTCCATGCTGACTACTCACTGAGCCACTTAATCTCCTTACCCAATAATCGAGACAAATAACTCAAATGGCGCAGTGGTGTGAGATCTAAGTGCTTATGCTGGGCCTTTTGAAAGGAAAACAAATGTTTTTTTTGTGCCACTATTCTCCCGAAGAGCTACAAAATGGTTACAATTTATGAAAGCAGGCAGTTTAAACAGCTTGATGTATCAGTAAATGTATATGTACTGTAAATGTTAATACAACCGTAAATGTTGGGTATGAAAAGGCTAATGCAGAACACAAGTATATTTACTGTGTGACTAGGAGGTAAGAGTATAAAACAGAGACAGAACAGAATTTATGCAAACATGAAAATCAATCAAAATAATGGTGCTTGTAGATTTTGTATTTAGTAAAATGAAACAGTAATGAATGATATGCACAGGCAATATATAAAATAATCCTGACTGTATACTATTTATTTTCCCCACCTTACCTGCCACCAGCTGTGTGACTGCCTTATTTTTGCCATCTAGGATGCTGATGGATACATTTTTGGAAGATTGGAGGAACAGTGGACTGCCCTGTTGAGAGAACACATTTTAAAACACAGAATTGTAATCATTTGGTGCAGACCGGGAACTGAACAGAAAATATAAATATGAATTTATACAATTTATACCCCAGGTACAAGAGGGCACAAAGCTGAACTACACGCAGGGCAGGATGCCAGTCCATCACAGGGAACACCCACTCACACTCTATAGACAAATCAGATACTGCAGTTAGTCTAACTGCGCATCTCAACTGCGGGAGGAGACCCACACACACGGGGAAAACATGCAAACATATAAGCACAGAGCAGAGGTGGGATTTGAACCTACATCCCTGTGATGCCACCATGCTGACCACAATATATCATGTATCAGATAATTACTGCTTATTTTCTGAATGCTAAGTGTTAAACAGAGATATAAAATTTTCCTTAAGGAATTATTCAATAGACGACTGAACAACAATTTAACAGGGTTACTGCGGTTCTTACAGTCTCTTATAGCACAATGCATTACTGAATGGTCCTGCGCTAACAGAAGGACGCTAAATAAATATGCTGACTGTAAATTTCGCTGCATCATCAAACCCGCTTCTGTGCACTGCTGCTCTATTTGGATGTACGTTTTTTTCCCAAAATAAAAGGATGGGTCTTACATAGAGACATTTTTAAATGGAAAACACAGTGGAAAGAATGACACAGATTGCGAGTGCATTGCATACTTGCTATGTAACTTTAGATATTATAATATGTTGTCATAATTTTTTTACATGAACCAGCTTCTGCTAAATAATTCCTAATAATTTCTGACCACACATTTGGTGCATCAGAACTTAATACAGCCTATTTAACCAGTTTTGCCGTAAATACCCATAATCTGACATATACTTATTCATTGCTTAAATATTCCTATTGTACTACATACAAACAGTATGTAGTGAACTGCACAGTTTCCTCCACAGTAATCCCACTTGCCTGCCATTCCCAGCATTTCTTACTGGCCTGGTATGATGTGTTTGTGTAACACCAGAGCATTACTGGTGCCCCTGGGCCTAATTCCTTTTCATTATTCATACGACGGCATTGGCTGCTATTAAAATCTCTAGGTAAAGAGACAGCAATATAATAATACATAGTAAATGAGAAAATCCCCACAAATATTTGACTTCAGTTTGTTGAGTCTCCTCTGTAAGCAGCCGCTTGTATAAGAGCTGAGCTGTGGGGGCCGTTGGATCACGGCATCGGGGCCCCGCTGGAGCGAGCAGCCCGACGTTTGTGCTTCCAGCTGCAGCCTCGCCAGCTGTGCAGTGATGGATTTAAGATTCTTTGGTTCACGCCTAGATGATGCAGCGCCTGAATCTTCTCCTAATTCTGACCTAAGATTGAAATACAGTCGTTTTTTTCAGTGAGACAGTCACACCCGTAAGCAGCCACTGGGGACATTCAGTGTCCCACTGTTGCCTGCAGACCACCACAGACCACCATTCCCTGCAGGGCTGCTTACGGCTTCCTGTTGGACGTCCCGATTTTGCAGAGTTCGACGAGTCCCTGGGTCGACGGGGGAAGGCTCGCATTTCACTTCTTTAACCAATCACAGTCGTCATCGTATGACATCACTGCACTAGTCTGTTTTTTTTTTCTTCTCATTTTTAAACTTCCATCCATCAGCACAAGAGCAGTGTGAGGCTCAGCAGGTTCAGCCACTGTGCCTGTGATCGCAAGGGTGCTGTATTATGTATTAGTAGTATTAGTAATATTAGTAGTATTATTAATATTAGTAGTATTAGTAATATTAGTAGTATTAGTAGTAGTGTTGCTCTTATTATTATTATCATTATTATTATTATTACTACTACTACTACTACTACTACTGCTAATATTATCATCATGAAAGGCACACCCTTTGATTGCTCTGTACTTTACAGAGTCTTTGCAGCATATTCCTATGTTTTGTATCTATGACATGTCCCTTAACAAAAGGCCTACACAATAAAACAGGAACTCGCAAGCCCGTGCGACAGAAAACCCTGGTTTTAATTAATGTTTTGATGTCATACAACAAAGAATGTGATTGGTTAAAGATGTGAAATGCATGCCCCTCCCTTGTAGACCCAGGGACACGCCAAACTCGGCAAAACCAGGACGTGTGCTTCCTGTCACGGTGGCTGTAGTGTAAGTGTGCGCTGTAAGTGATAGTATTAACCTTACCCTGAGAAATACAGTTCTTCTACTTACTGGTCTTGACTGGATTTCTTTGGCATAGAGGGGTCGAAGGAATTCTGAGTCCCCATTAAGTTCCAGACCAGTCTTTGTAATTCTTAAATGTCCCATACCTTCCTGTGACAAATAATATAAAACAAAAGTGATCGTTATAACCAATGTATTTCTATGTTTTGTTTCATATACAATAACTCAATAGAGGGAATGTGAATAGCAGAACATGAATAGCAGAACGTGAATAGCAGAACGTGAACAGCAGTATGGGAATAGCAGAATGTGAATAGCAGAACGTGAATAGCAGAATGTGAATAGCATCTATACGGAATGACCAGTCAGAGTAAAGATTTCAGTGTAGAGTGTAGACATTTGTGGGCAGCTTAACTCCAGATATGAATTTACAACTGGTCTTATGTATATTATTACTCCTTAACCTTCCTTAGACATACCATCTGTGTTGTTAACTACCTGACTACTTGATGTACTTCTAAGATCTTTACAAAGATTGTGACCATTAAAGGGATGGTTTGTGACTGAATCTGAACAGGCCAGACACATGCCTAAGTGTTACTTCTAAATATTGATTTGTGTATTTATTTTTACAGAGAAATATGACAAACCAAAATGTGTCAAAAAATCGCAAGATTTCCATTGAACCAATAACAAATAATGATCCTTGCCTTACAGTATAAAGATACAAGTTTTGTCATTACAGCTTAAAACACACTGGAAAGAATGCCAAAATACCACGATACATGACTTAATTCACTCTGTATTCTCATGCCCTTAATGTTTTTGGACATAAGGAGGCGGAGCTGCGCTCCGGCAAGGTGTGATCCAGTGGGCTCCTTCTATTCAAACCCTTAATTCATGTCACAGACACACTAATCGTCACAGCCTTCCTTGTGGCTGGGAATTTTCATGGGCACACGTTAGAAGGAAGTTAAGAAAATAATAATAAGATGTTCTACATCTATGACATAGGAATGAGACTGGGTTTGATGTAGATATGACGGGTCAGTGCGTATAGAATGCAACAACAATCACAACACTCACCTTGCCAAATCCCTTTACACCCATACTATATATTCAACAGGCTCAAACAGAAAACCAGTTTAAATTAAAACAGTTCAGACAATCCTGTTTGGAGGCTTCTATCTGAACCATTTCAAATTCTCTTCTGAAATGTTCTCTGTATCCTGTCAGCAAAATCAGCAGAAGCATTGTTACATTGCCAGATTTCACTGTATCAGGCTGTTACGTGCTTTTGGCAATACTTGTTCAGAAGAAAAGATTGCCCACTGATGTTTATTCTGAATAGCGTACTTTTTGTTTTACAAAAAATACGTTGTTAACTTAGCATAAAAAGACTGCCTTCCTGTTGACCATCAGCCTACAGCAGTGTTTCCCAATCCCGTCCTTGGGGACCCACAGACAGTCCACATTTGGATTGCCCGGGAGGGAGCGAAAACGTGGACCATCTGTGGGTCCCCAAGGACCCGACTAGGAAGCACTGGCCTCCAGCAAACGCTTACAACTTTCAAACAATAACAGGAAAAGGAGCCAAAGGCTTTTGTTGGTGTGCTCCAGAATGCATTGGACCCAAGGATGTTTTTGACACTTTTTGTGCCAGCAGATCCAGCCCCAGAGTTAGGATATGACAGCTTCAGTGCACTCAAGCGCTCCCAAGCAGACACTGTATGCCACTGAAAATCAGCCAACCTCTGCTTTATACTTCACGTTCATGCACCGTGGAAAGCTAAACTGATTTACCGTCTCCTAAGAAAGCTGCCACTGCACCGTTTGATATTTATATTGAGCAAAGTGAAGGTTTGACATGTACTCCATTCTATAGAGATCTTAAATGCCACTAAGGCTGCACATGCTTCATTAACACCACATAACGTACATAATGCATTAACAAGAAAGGCAAAATTCTATTAATCTAAATTCCAGTCATACAACACCGTCGTTCCCAGCAGGGTTATGTCTTTGTATTTGGTCACCAAAACTGCCCAGAATTCACAGTGCTGGGTGCTTTTTTGGATGATGAATCCTTGTCTTTGCAACAGAATGAATGTATAACCATTTCACAATTTAGAAGTTTCAGTATCAGAGTTTGTTTTGCATACACGCGGGACGGATGGTTTTGCATGGATTCAATGTCGGCTCCCCGAAAAAAATTAAATCAGGAAGCAGGAAAACTGAGAATGTTAGTCAGATAATTCTGAATTTTATTTGAAAGACAACTGGAAAAACACAAAAGCTCTATAAAATAATTTTAGAGGAATTACATATTAGCAAGAATAACCGGTCCAAGATGAAATGTTTGTGCTGTGGGAAACTCAAAATAAAAGGCAGAAGGCTGAATGCCGTCCCTGCGGGAGACTGTCCCGTGTTCCAGCTTTCATTCTTCGTCAGTATAAAAGATACTGACGTCTGTCAGCCCCACTGATGTTCAGCCTCGCAGCCCCAATGCAGGGTCACATGACCCTATCTTTTCTTAATACCAAGTATGCAAAGATCATACTTGTGGTCTTTGTAAGAGCGGTCTTGTTAACTTTCCTTACAAGAATGAGCTCTGATTGCAATAAATCATGGGATCAGTCTTGTTTGGCAAAGATGTAATCGATGTATCCTTGATATTTGGTGTGGGGCAAGAACGATTTTTACCATCCTCTGTACTTCTGTTCTTAGTATCAGAACTGCATTTCGGCAATGGAAGATGGCGTATAACAGGTACACAAGAACGCAAGTACGGTCAAGTATGCAGATTGAGGGACAGCCTTCGCCTTGAGCTTCCCTACAGTCTCAGAGAGTGCCATCCCACATCTCAGCATTGTTCCAGAAATCAGCCAAGCCATCTGTCCTCTTGGATCTAATCCTCCAACCCCTTCTTCAGCACGTCTCTCCCGATCTCTCTCCATTCATCTTCCTGATTAATATCAGGCTGTCCCATGAAACTAGAGCTCAGATCCACTACAGATTCTCACTTCTGCTATTTCTCTCTCACATACCTAAAGAAGATAGTTTCGCTTACCCGTTTAAATTACCTCCTCACCCCGGCCTGTCCATATCAATCATCTAGCTGTTAGTCAGTCACCACATTGTTCTGGTCCTCCTAAACCTGACACTATCTACACTTATTCTAGCTAAAATTGATAATTCCAGATGGATTATGAAGAGCACTGTCAATATGGAGCACAGCGTTTTCAGAACACTATGCCTAATCTGCAATTTTACCATATCCATGAGACTATCTTTAAGGGCCCTATTTAGCATCTGATTCTAAGCGGCCCCAGACACGATACAAGCATTCTTGCTAGCATGAGCCAGACACAGTTGTTACCTCCCCATCCAGCACCCATGCTGTTTAAACAGCAAATGTACTTGCACCCATCTGAGCGCACGTGGGTGTGTCAGTCTTAAAATGGGGTCAGCTACATTATTGGTGCATTGCAATTATGCAATTATGAGGGATCTCATGTCGTTTCCGCTCAAAGATTTATAGCCGTTGTACCTGATTTGCTAAAAGGAAAAGTGGGAGGTTTTCAGCCATTATACAAGTAATAGTTCTACTGAAACAATATCAGCACAGATTCTTTAATTATTCTCCTTTTCCCCCTCTATCATTTTTGACTGAATAATCTGATCTTGAGTGAAGTGCACACTGCAGACTTTGCTGTATACCGTGACTGTGAAGCGGCCATGACGGATCCTCACTAGCCAGTGCACACTGCAGACTTTGCTGTATACCGTGACTGTGAAGCGGCCATGACGGATCCTCACTAGCCAGTGCACACTGCAGACTACTTTGCTGTATACCGTGACTGTGAAGCGGCCGTGACGGATCCTCACTAGCCAGTGCACACTGCAGACTTGGCGCCCCATCCTGGGTTGTTCCCTGCCTTGTGCCTGTAGCATCTGGGATAGGCTCATGGCCCCCCGTGACCCTGAATAGGACAAACGGTTACAGAAAATGGATGGATTTACCCCTGGAAATGTATTGCCATATATAAACAGCTTTTCACACTTTAAATGGTTATGTTGCATTTAAACACAAGTCATATGTGCCTGGCACAGTAAAACGTTTGATTAATCAAACACATTTTCAGCTACATTCAACTATCTTGACCATATCTGTTAACTCAAATACTAATAGGCCTAACTCATGCAATTAATCTGACAGATGTATGAACAGTGGGATGATTTGCTAAGAGATTGTTAGAGAAGGTCTGAATATGCTAATAATACCTTTGTTTCAGGGTGACGGACCATATGCAGACTGATTTAAAGAAGGCTTCTAATTTTAACCTTCATGGAAACATGCCTGGTTGTACAAAAGTTCATTGGATATTTAAGTGACCTTAATTATAAGGGTTAATTTAATCCATCTGTTACATGTTTTGCTGCGTGTAATTCTGTACTTTCTACATCCTGACCAGGGTATTTTCAGTTCTCTGAAGATCTAGATGTGCATTTTGCAACTGAAAATAAAATACAGATAATATTTTCCCTGCTTAACCAGCAATATTGATCTCAGACCCCTAATTCCTTTTAATTTACTGCCATTTATATGTCCCTGTTCTATTTGGGTCTGTCCCTGAAAAAAAATCCTGACAAAACACTTAATCACTGCTAAATCTCTTTGTCACTGAGTTCAGTTCACTGTCATGGTGAAAAAATTGCCATTTATATCTTAACAAATTGCTCATCGTTACCTTTTAGAATTCAGCTAGTTTTCTTACCAGGATATGTTTGCATGTTTTGACCTTTAGCCAATAAACAAACTTTAAAATTTAGTAATGCCAACCTAATTACGCTAATTAGGACTCACAGCATTGAAGCCTTGAGCCTGTATAAATATGCAAGGAATTTATTGATTAACTGTAAATTTCTTGCGCATTTGTGTTTGTTATGATTTTTTTCCCCTCAGTGGGCACCTTATCAAGATAGCAGCACACGCCTAATTAGCTGCGTTCACAGTGCGTGTACACTGCTTGTCACACACACAGGGATTCGCCGCAGCACACAAACATGCAAAAGATGAAAAACAGCTTTTTATAACAACGCATGAAATATTTTTGCAATTCCTGTAAAATGTTGGAACACATGAAGTG